AAAAAAAAAAAAAAAAAATTAAAATGAGAGCTAAGTAACTTGCCCAATCCCTTTACTCCTGCACTACTAAAGCTGCATTAGGGGGCCCAAAGAAGGGACCCAAGAAAGAAGGCAACTTACTGAATGAATTTGTGCCTGCTTGTTTTTGCTGGGGGAAGCTGCCAAGACTACTACCTGCAACAAATAGGAACATACAACACTCAAGAAGCCTTGACCTGAGAACTGGCAGAGCTTCTTCTCTATCTGGGCACCTGACTCTGGAAAGAGGATGGACTTGGGAAAGAGCCAGAGGGTGTGTGGCTGTGCCTCCGTTCTGTGGGTGTTGGGGGCCCTGTTCAGCCTGGGTGCACCCATTTCTGGCCAACACCTTTAAACAAAGTCCCTTTTCCAGAAGGCCAATCCCCCCACTGGGGTGCCTCTTTGAATCTTCTCAGCTATTAGCTAAGAAGGGTTTTGGTGCTGATGGACTTTTGCATAAAATTCGTGGGTCTTGGTTCTCCAAGTCACAAAATATCAGAGGTGGAAGGAACTTTAGTGGTCATCTGGTCCAGCCCCTTCACTTAACAAGTCTGGAAGCGAAGGCTCAGAGCAGCTGAGTGGCTAAACCAAGGAGCAGGGCTTGTCTGCTAATACCACTCTGCCCCATAGGGTGCTGATGAGTTCTGGAGGCCTCTGTGGGGCCTAGGTCTCCTACAGGAGGAATGGGGATCAGGGAGGCGAGCGCACTAAGAGCTGGGCCAGGTCCCTGGGACCCCTGGAGGCCATGTGACTTTGGGCATGCTCCTTACCGCCTCCGGGTCGGGCTGTGAAACAGGACCGGGACTGCAGCGGCCCTACTGCTCTGCCTCTCTTACAGGGGTGCCTTGAGGACTGACTGAATTCACGGGAACGGAGAAGGGGCTTTGAAGAGTATAAAGCGCTGCAGAGCCACACCCACACTGGTCACATGAACCCACAGCTCAGCGTCCCCCACTCCCCGCTCCCCCCCACCCCCCGACCCCCGTTATGCTGACATTCCTTAAGACCTGAGAAGGAGAGACAGAAGTCGGGGTGGGGTGGGGCACAGGGCCATATTGGTATATCCAATTTTACAGATAAGGAAACTCACTTGGAAAGATAGCATGACGGGCCCAAGGAAGGCAGGTGGGGAAGTAACACAGACAAGTCACCTGGCTCTGAATCCCACCTTTCACTTCCTCCATCCAGCAGCTGCTTCTCTCCATGGCGTGATTTACACATATAAAGAAGGGTCTAGGTAGCCTGCCTACCAAGCTGAGACTCGGAAAAGAAAACATACATCTGGTAGTAACCAGCTCTCACTTGTGAAGGCTAATTGCACTAATCCCTCTACCTAAAATGTATCATTTAATCCTCAGAGTGACATTATATGATACAGGTCTACCTCAGAGAAGTTGTTACTGGCCTCCAGGCCACTGCAATAAAGCAAGTATTGCAATAAAGTGAGTCAAATGAATTATTTGGTTTCTCAGTGCTTATAAAAGTTATGTTCCCACTACACTGTAGTCTACTAAGTGTGCATAGCATGATGTGTAAAAAAAAAAATACAGTGTACATACCTTAATTTTAAAATGTTGCTAAAAAAATGCTGACCATCATCTGAGCTTTCAGCCAGTCATAATCTTATTGCCGGTGGAGGGTCCTGCCTCAGTGCTGATGGCTGCCAACGGATCAGGGTGGTGGCTGCTGAGGGCTGGGGAGCTGTGGCAATTTCTTAATATATGACAACAGTGATGTTTGCCACATCAAGTAGCTCCTCCTTTAGTGAACAATTTCTCTGTAGCATGTGATGCTATTTGTAGCATTTTATCTACAGTAGCACTTCTTTCAAAATTGGAATCAATCCTCTCAAACCCTGCCACTGCTTTATCAGCTAAGTTTATGTAATATTCTAAATCCTTTTTTGTCATTTCAACAATCTTCACAGCATATTGACCAGTAGATTCCACCTCAAGAAACCACTTTCTATGCTCGTTCATAACAAGCAACTTCTCATCTGTTAGTTTAACCATGAGATGCAGCAGTCCAGCCACGTTTTCAGGCTCCACTTATAACTCTAGTTCTTCTGCTATTTCTGCCACATCTGCAGTTACTTCCTCCAGTGAAGACTTGAGACCCTCAAAGTCATCCAGGAGGGTTGAAATTAGCTTTTTGAAACTCCTGTAAATGTTGATATTTTGGCCTCTTCCCATGAAACACAAATGTTCTTAATAGCATCTAGAATGGTGAATCCTTTCCAGAAGGTTTCAATTTTCTCTGCCCAGATCCATCAAATGAATCAATATTTATGGCAGCTATAGTCTTATGAAATGTAATTCTTAATAAGACTTGAAAGTTGAAATTACTCCTTGATGGGCTGGAGAATGGATGTTGTGTTAGCAGGCATGAAAACAATATTAATCTCATTGCACATCTCCATCAGAGCTCATGGGTGACCAGGTGCATCGTCAATGAGCAGTAATATTTGAAAGGAATCTCTTTTCTGAGCAATAGGTCTCAAAGGTGGGCTAAAAATATCAAGTAAACCACACTGTAAACAGATGTGCTGTCATCCAGGCTTTGTTGTTCCATTTATAAAACACAGGCAGAGTAGACTTAACATACTTCTTAAGAGCCTTAAGATTTTCTGAATGGTAAATGACCGCTGGCTTCAACTTAAAGTCACCAGCTGCATTAGTCCCTAATAAGAGAGTCAGCCTGTCCTTTGAAGCTTTGAAGCCAGGCATTGACTTCTCCTCTCTAGCTATGAAAGCCCCAGATGGCATCTTATTCCAACAGAAGGCTGTTTCCCCTACATTTAAAATCTGTTGTGTAGTGTAGCCATCTTCATGAATTTTCTTAGCTAGATCTGGATAACTTGCATCTTCTTTTCAGCACTGTTCACCTTGCACTGTTATATTATGGAGTTGGCTTCTTCCCTTAAACCTCAGGAACCAACCTTGGCTGGCTTCAAACTTTTCTCTGCAGCTTCCTTACCTCTCTCAGCCTTCATAGAATTGAAGAGAATTAGAGCCTTGCTCTGGATTAGGCTTTGGCTGAAAGGAATGTTGTGGCTGGTTTGATCTCTCCAAACCACTATAACTTTCTCTTTATCAGCAACAAGGCTGTTTCACTTTCTTATCATTCGTGTGTTCACTGGAGTAACACTTTTAATTTCCTTCAAGAACTTTTCCTTTGCATTCACAACTTGCTAACTGGCACAAGAATCCTAGCTTTCGGCCTGTCTCAGCTTTCACTGTGCCTCCTCACAAAACTTAATCACTTCTAGCTTCGGTTTGGAGTAAAAGACGTGTGACTCTCCCTTTCACCTGAACTCTTAGGGGGTAGTACAGGGTTATTCATTGGCCTGATTTCAATATTGTGTCTCAGGGAATAGGGGGGCCCAGGGAGAAGGACACGGGGGAATGGTGGAGCAATGAGCACAAGCATTTACTGATTAAGCTCACCATCTTACATGGGCACCGTTCATGGCACTCCAAACCAATTACAACAGTAACATCAAAGGTCACTGGTCGCACATCACCCTAACAACTACAATGACAATGAAGATGTTTGAAATATTTGAGATTTACCAAAATGTGACACAGAGACACAGGCTGAGTAAACTGTTGGAAAAATGCCCACAGACTTGCTAATGCAGGGTTGCCACAAACTTGAATTTGTAAAAAAAAAACACAGTATCCACAAAGCTTCATAAAGTGAAGGGCAATAATTTGAGGAATGCCTGTACTTGTAAAATATCCAATTGTCCCCATTTTATGATGATGAATCTGAGGCTTGGAGATGGCACCAACTTGTGCAGTGAAACAAACTGAGACCTGGCTCTCTGCTTCTAGAACCATGTTTAACCACCAAAGAGGGCAGGAGAGAGAAAAAGCCTGAACAGAGCAGGCAGCATCCTCGGGCAATTCAAAGGGAGAGTTGGCACTTTTTAAAAATGGAAGATCTAGTCTCCACACTGCCTGCCTCACAGGATGGAGGCTGTGATCCTGGTGAAGGTGCTTTATAAACTAGGAAGGGCCATTTAGGAAAGAGGACCCAGTCCTCACAATGTCTGACCCATTCATGCTATGCAGAAAATTCAGCTCCCCAGTGAGGAGTCCGGTTGGTAAAAACACCTCTGTTCTAGAGGCATTTCCAAGAAATATGGTCCCTCAGACCCAAAGCTACACTCATCCCTAAACTCAAATGCTCCCCCTACCCCATGGCCGCCCCCCACCTGGCATGCAGGCCCCTCTCAGCCCACCAGAGGGCACCACATGATACCAGATGACCAACTCATGCACTTCATTTTCTACATACCATCTATATAAGTGGCTTTCCTTCTGTTTCCCAGAGCAGAGGGACCAAGGAGAGCTGCCTTCGACCCGTGGGTGTGTTCCTCTACTGCTAATTGCTTCTGTACATTCCCCGTGAACCGGGTACTAAGTTCTTCGTGTACACTGTCTTGTTAAACCTTCACACCAAATCTGTGAGGTAGATACTCTCATCTCCATTTTGCAGAGGAGGAAACTGAGGGTCAGAGAGCTTAGGTAACTTGCCTAAGATTACAGAGCTAGGAAGTGGCAGAACAGGGCTTAAAACCAGGTGTGTCTGACTTCAGGGCCTCTGCTCTCACCTGCAGCCCACCCTCCCCACCGGCACTGGGACCACGGCCGCACGCTTCTCCTGTGCTTCTCCTGGTGGTCCATTCTCTGGCACGCCCTGCTTGCCTGGAAATTACGGGTTTCCCCGCTGAGTTTGCTGGAGACTCCCTGTTCCCAGCACCCCAGCCTGGGTCTGCCCCCCTACTTCTCTGGACTCACCACTGGTCCTGCCTCCCTCACCCTTCCTCAGGCAAGCAAGACTGACCTGCTCACACAAGGGACCATCTTCAAAGTCTCTGGGCCCTTCTCACAGAGGAGACAGCAGCCTGGTCTGGGAATCCTGGGGCTGAGTCCAAGCGCCAGCAATGATGCTACCTCACATGTGACTTCAAGCAAAGTGCTGTCTCCCATCTCTAGGCTAGTCTATATTCTTCAAATGGACTAGGGGACCGAAGGAGTCTTCCCATCTAAGATCCATGAATGGAGTGCAGTGTATCCTGTGGTGCATGTAGACATGGGTGGTGGAGTGAGTAATCCTGCTCCACTAAGTCTATGCAGCCTCCTTGCCACCCTATCCCCACTGATTACATGCCTTCCTTCCTCTCCCCCTCACTCCGTCCTACCATACACACACAGAGACATGCACACAGACTTATACACACACACGCATGCATGTGTGCAGATATCCACACAGGCCATGGACACACAGACATGCTTACAGATATATGTTCAAACATGCACACATGAATGCACAAACCTTCACACATACACACATAGATACAAGCACACACACATGCTTCAGAGACACACACATATGCGCTTGCACAGAAACAGGCACCCCAGCCATACTTGCAACCAGGCAGTGCAAGTCAACAGCAGCCCCAAAGCTCTCAGGTCTCTCCAGTCCCACCCTTGGAGTGGGGAGGTCAGGAGGTGGGTTGAAGGTGTTGGGCCAAGAACGATGACACTGGTGCTCTGAGGCCCTCTAGAGGCCTCTCTGGGCAACACTGAAAAGAACTTAAACTGAAAACCTGTCCTCAGCTGACCAGGGTTGAGGAGGAGCGTCTGGATGAGCAGTGCACCCTAAATACCACATTTGGCTGAGTCCTCTGGGGTGCTCCCTCAGGTCCTGTGCGTCAGCCAGGACTGGCAGACACCTGTGCCTGGCAAGGCTTCAGAGGAAGGGTAGGAAACCTCCCCAAGCTCTGCGGACTCACGGTCACCACACTCAGCCTCCCCTTGGCCTCTGTGTGCCACACAGACCTGATGTAGCAGCACAGGCAGGGGTGAGGGCAGGCTTCTGACTCCACCTGCTCAGTCCAGAGATGCTCCTGAGTAGGCCTGGGGTCCCCACTAACACTGGACCCTTGCCTGTGTTCTGCCAAATGAGCACAGATGCCAAGGGTGTCAAAACGTGATGTCACCACGAGGGGCAACCCCCCATCCATGCATTCACTCATTTGACAAGGATCTAACAGTTTGGTCCTAAGTGCCATACACTGTGCTCGAGGTGAAAATTGAGAAGACCCAGTCCGTGGTTTCAGGGGGAAATAGAAAAATTAACTGTGATAGTGTAATAAGTGCTATTGACAGAGACAATAATCTTATGAAGAATAGAAATACAGGACTTCTACTGAGTTCTCTCAATATCTCAGGCATGTAAATGCTTTCACTCATTGTCCCACTGAATCAACAGCCCTATGAGCTAGATACTATAGGTATTCCCATTTTACAGGTGGAAAGCCTGAAGCCCAGAAGGGTTGAGTGGTTCAAATACGGTGACAGAGTTAGCCTGTGGCACAGGCCCAGTTTGAACCATGACACTGCACTGTCCTGGGGACTCAGGGTACTGTGGGAATGCAGAGAGGCACCCGCCTCAAGGGGAGAGCCCAGAGCAACGAGCTTGCTCACCCAGGCTCTCGCATCAGACCCAGGGCCGGGGCCCAGAGGTGGAGGGGTGGGGCCCGAGACTGGGCGCTTTGGTACCTCCTCCACCTCCCATGCCACCCTTTGGATTTACCGTCAACTGAGGGCTCAAACAAGGAAAAGTGCTAAATGTCTGCTCCCTAGGCAATCTTGGCATTTCCAAAGCTTCAATTTCAAGTAAGTCAGCATCACCCCAGCAGGTATCTTCTGCCCAGCCCCTTCACCTACACTACAGATCCCCACACCTTTGGGTGCATCCAATTGACACACCCAAACCTACTCAGTTGTCGCCCCACCCCCACGGCCTGTTCTGCTCTTCCGTCCATGTTGCCCATGTCAGTGAAATGGATGCTCGCTCTAGTTGCACAAACCAGCCTTCCTCCCTGCGGCTGCTCAGCCACTCAGCCCTGTAGTCCTGCCTCTCAAATCCACCCACTTTTCATCCCCTTCTGCATCCTTCATCACCTGAGCCTCCGTCATCTCCTGCCTGGACTATGCCACAGCCTCCTTTGGGTACTGTACCTCACTCGTCTCCAATCCATTTCCCATACTGCAGCCACAAAGATTTTCTAAAGGTCTTTTTAAAAGACTGAACCCCATCAACAGCTTTCCACTGCCCTTAGGAAGTCTCCACCACTGCCTCCTACGCCTCCCCTCCTGCCATCTTCAGTCACACTAACATCTTATGGTTCCTCTAAAATTCTGTTTCCTCACCTCCAGATCTCCACTCTTCATTTGCCCCCGTTCAGGACACCCTTCCCTCCCCTGACCTCTCTGGTTGGCCATCCCCTACTCATTCCCTGCACATTGCTTTAGACCAGGGGCTAACTTACGTGTGAAGGACTAGATAGCAAATAGTTGAGGCTTTGTGGGCCATATAAATTATTTATTGTATAGTCTTATTTTTTGAAAATTACCTCCCTTCAAAAATACAAAACCATTCTTAGCTCCCAAGCCATACAAATTCATGGACTAGATTGGGCCCACAAGCCACACTTTGCTAACACCTGGTTTAGACATCACTTCCTTCACAAAGTTTTCCAAGGCTGTCTGCCCCCGAGCCAATATAGGTGCCCCTAAATATGTTCTTACAATACTCTGCACTTGCACTACCGTGACAGAGACATAAGGTATTCACCAGAGTCCGTGCTCTCCTCCTCTCCCTGGGCTCCCGCCTTCCTTACCATTGGGTGTGATCTAGCGACAGCTCCAGCCAGTGAAAAATGAGAGGTAATGTGGGTTACTTCCAGGAATGGCCCATAAAACTCTCCCTTGTGCACGGATTCATGCTTTCCTCCATCTGGTGACTGGGAATGAAGATGACCCCCCTGGGTGACCTTGGCAGCACATAATGAAGATGGCAGAGTCGATCTCAGTCTGGATCTCAGAGTGACTACGTGGATCAATCCACACTCCTATTCCTTCCCCTACACACACACACACACACACACACCATGACCTGGAATCGCGCCTGCCTATCCTAATACACTCTCAGAGCACTGATCACAATGTACATAATAGTTTAAAATTTGTCTCTTCAGTACACTGGGGAAGGAAAGAGACCTTATCCTTGTCCTATCCACCTAATTCCTAATGTATCCACTGTATCAGGCCTCTAGCATGAATTATAACACATTCCCAGTAAATAGCTGAATAAAGAAGAACCTGGGGTCTCATTTACTGGGGAGCCCCTGGGCCCTGTGGCCAGGGTGGGGCAAGTACTGGAGGCCAGGAGCACAGGACAAGTACTTACCTTCTTTGCTAACACCCAGGCAGCCCTTCAGCTCAGACAGGGAGATGACCTTGTCCTTGTTCAGGTCGCAGTAGTCGCTGAAGCGCCGGGCACACTTCTTGGGCTTGGCCTTTTTCTTCACGTAGCGCTTGAAGGGCTTCATCTCCCGCTTGTTAATGTCGTTGCTGCCATTGCTGTCCAGCTGGCTGAAGTACCAGTGCACCACTCGCTCCTCCAGGGTGTGGCTGGGGTCTGGCTCTGAGAACCTGGGCAGCAGGCAAACCAGAGGATACCGCTCAGGGTCCTGCAGGAACCATCAACCCCACTGCAGTTCTCTCCCACGTGGTCAGACACTGGGGTAATCATGCTGAGCTGCCAGCAGCCATGTGAGAAGGGCTCCTCCAAGCCAGAGACCTCCAGGCCCCACTCAGCCTGCAGCAGAATCAAGATCTCCTCTGCAACTTAAGCCTTAAGACTGGACAATTCATTTCTCGGGGGTCCCCACATGGGTGACCCTTATTACATGAACCTGCCTCACCCTCTACCATAGCCAGGAATGTTGTTGTATGGGATGGGTACTCAAGACATGTTGGTTGGATTTAAGTCACCTGAGAAAAGCACAGCTGGAATCCAGCTGGTCCTTCTTCGGGCCTACTGTTCACTGCCAGACAAACTGCGCTTCACACATGAGCATGTACACTCAAGTGATGTGACTGTGGGAAAGGGCACCCCACACCCAGCACCAGGCCAAGTCCTAGGAAGGCTTCCAAAATGGGAGGCATAGTCACTGGCCTCAAACCACTCACTGGCTTGGCAAAACAGTCAAAAACATGAAACCAGGCGGTGACCATTCAGTGTGGAGCTTTATGTTCCCATGACCAGTCACTATCAGGTACCAAGTGCAGTAGGAATTGAGGGAAGAAGGTAATTGGGAGGGACACAAACAGAGGTTCTAAAATTGGCAAGTCCCAGACCTACTGGGGGTGAGTTTCTCCATGAAGAGGTTCTAAGTCAGGAAGTCTGGGGTGGACCAGGAAACCACATATTAACTAGAACCCTAAGGGGATTCTGCTGAGAAGCACTGGACTAGAGTAACCAAGAGAGCTTCCTGGTGTCAAGATGCACAATAATGACCATGTCTAACGCAGCCCACACACATGTGATGGCCACAAAGTAACAAGACCAGTGCTTACATGTATAACTGTACAGATGGCTTACCCAGCTGTTTGATTTGCTTATGCCCCAGCGGTTCCCAAAAAGGATTCAGGTGCTAGCTAAATCTTTAAGACTTCTAAAGACAATGGTGGGTCTGTTCCCAAGAGGGTGACTGGGATCTCTGACCAAAAGAACAGAGCACAAGAAGTCCCATGGCACCTGCTCCCAGGGCTTGGCCCTGAATTAATGTGGTCCAGGTGCTTATGTTCAAAGTTTCAGGCAACTTTCCCTTGGTAGCAGAAATAAGGCTGAGGTTGGGAGGCCCACATATTCAAACACTTAGTCTACAGGGCTACTAGGACAGACTACATGACTACCATGGGTCAGAAGTGGGGTAGAGGGGCTCACTGTCACACAGGGATCCTAGACCAGGGGTTCAGGGCCTGCCAGCACACCCCGAAGCTGTGCCAGGCAAGAAAAGCATTCAAGGTACTTGTCAAAGCCTTGAGGTTCTTCTCTGGAATTTGCCAAGCTTTCCAAAAGGGAGGAGACCATCTCTGACCCCCCCTTATGAACAAGCCAGCAAACTCCCTCCCTTTCTCACCCTCAAGTGACCTCAACAGTTAGAGAAAAAAAGTTTCATTACCAAGAATAGCCAGGCATTGGCGAGGATGTGGAGAAAGGGGAACCCTCCTACACTGTTGGTGAGAATGTAAGCTAGTTCAACCATTGTGGAAAGCAGTATGGAGGTTCCTCAAAAAACTAAAAATAGAAATACCATTTGACCTGGGAATCCCACTCCTTGGAATTTACCCAAAGAATACAACTTCTCAGATTCAAAAACACATATGTACTGCTATGTTTATTGCAGCACTTTTTACAATAGCCAAGATATGGAAGCAACCTAAGTATTCATCAATAGATGAATGGATAAAGAAGAGGTGGTACATATACACAATGGAATACTATTCAGCCATAAGAAAGAAACAAATCCTACCAGTTGCAACAACATGGATGGAGCTGGAGGACATTATGCTCAGTGAAAGAAGCCAGGCAGAAAAAGACAAGTGCCAAATGATTTCCCTCATTTGTGGAGTGTAACAATGAAGCAAAACTGAAGGAAGAAAATAGCAGCAGACTCACAGAATCCAAGAAGGAACTAGTGGTTACCAAAGGGGAGGGGTGTGGGAGGGCGGGTGGGGACAGAGGGAGAAGGGGACTGGGGGGTATTATGTTTAGTACACATGGTGTGGGGGATCACGGGGAGAACAGTGTAGCATAGAGAAGGCACATAGTGGATCTGTGGCATCTTGCTGCACTGATGGACCATGACTGCATTGCGGTATGGGTGAGGACTCAATAATAAGGGTAAATGTAGTAACCACATTGTTTTATCATGTGAAACCTTCATAAGAGTATATATCAATAATAACTTAATAAAAAAATTTTTTAAAAAGAAAAGCCAGGCATCCCTACTAAATTCCCATCCCTAAGTAAGTGGACTACGGTCTTGGACAGAGGCTCCCCTAGGCACCTTGGACCAATTCTAAGACAACAATTTGTGGGTCTGCCAACAGGACCCCATTCTGACAGGTTAAATGCATGTTGTACCTGGGGATGGCGTGAGGGACCATCTGTCTCTGGCTTTTTGGGAATCTGCTGAATCTGTTATGGAAACCAGACTTGGAAGGTCTTTGAAACAGGCATGGGGCTATTCATTGCAGAGCTCAGATTTTTATCTCTGCCAGTACATGGTATTTTGGTGCTTTATTTCATCTGCAACATTCCCTCTCAAGCCTGCAAGGTATATCGGGTGGGCAGCAGAAAATTCCCTATGAGGAGGATCTTGGTGCAGGAGGGAGGGTGGCCAGCTCCTCTCAGAGCACCCTGCCTGCCTCTGCCTGCCTCTAAGCTTGAGGCAGGACCCAGGCTGGGGAGGAGAGCCAGGGGGGCCCCAGGGGAGCTGTTCCAGCTCCTCCCACCAGAGGCTTTCTAAGGCGTCCAGGGGAGGCAGCCAGCGGCTTTCCCCAAGCCTCCCACAACAGGGGCCATGTAAGCCCCTCCGCGAAGGTAGCTCTTCCTTTAACCTTTAGGCTCAGCATAGCATGATGTCTACCTTAGGCTGGCATAATATCGCCTCGGTTGCTGAGACGGGAAGGGATGAGGTCATCCTGCCCAGACGCCCTGCCAGGAGAGGCTCTCTGCCTCCAACGTGAGTTCCCTGGCTCCCGCCTGTCCGGTTCTGAGTGATTCCATAAATGGACTCCCCAGTCTTCTTTCGAGCTAGTCTGCAGCAGGAAGCAGCTCTTCTCCCCACTTTACAGCCTCTAAGAGTGTCTTCCCAGGCCAGAGAGTGACCGACACTTGGCTCCTGCTCCGTTCCTCCCCCTCACTTTCTGACTCTCCCAGTTTGACTTGTCTCCCCTGTCTGGAGAGCCACGTTCCTGGCCTCCTCATTCCGACTTCCTCCTGATTGCTGGCCTCCCCCATCCGCTTCCCAGCCAGGCCCCTGGAGGCTCCGAGAGTACTTCCCCAGGAGAGGTCCTTCCAGGCCCCTCCAAGCACGGCCTCTGGCTCCCATGACACGGCCACGGCCGCAACCATGGCCACAGCCACGGCAGCCTGCCCTGTGGAGCCTGCAAATCCTGCCTCTTCCCTCCCTCCTCCACGGCTTGTGGAGGGCTCTCTGCTTCTGAACTCCCCGGCCCCTAGAAACCCACCCGTACAGAGCCCAGCTCTACATGTGAAGCTGGCAGCGCTAGGATCCCACCTTGGAACCCAGCCCTTTGTCTAGGCCAAGTTCCAAGTGCAGTTAGAGCAAGAAGTACTTAGCTTGGGGGATCATGGACCCTCCTGAGAACTTAAATAAAGCTGTAGCCCTTCTCTCTAGGAAACTGCACATACACATAGAGCTCTGCAGATTTTAGGGGTTTAATGAGACTCCTTATATCTATCTCATCCAAGGCCATGGACTCAGGTAAAGAACCCTTTATCTATAGGGAAGGAGACTCCAGCCATGGCCCCAGAAGGATGGTTAGGTGTAAACCTTCCAGAAGAAGATGGGGTGAGACAAAAGACAGTAACTGGGAGAGGTCTGGGGTAGTTTTATATTTCCAACAAAACATAATAGAAAAAAAAGAAAACCACTGAAGGCATCTGGTTTAAAACTGTGAAAATCAGATTTCTGGCTCTGTGACAGTCTTAAGTCCCAAACTACCATGCTTCATACAAGATCTAGTCAAGACTGAGATCTATCAGGAGTCCTGGTTTAGCCAAACCAGCAGTGGGCATGTAGGAAAGAAGATACATGAGGCCTCTGTTAACTTAGGAGAACTAAGATTTTCCCAACGGACTGCTAGCCGGTGTGGGGCAGGGCCTACCCCAGAGCTTTCAGGAATCTCTCAAGCAGTCTTCTCTGGAGTCCTTTCCATCGTAGTTATACTCCCCATAATACACCTCTGACCTCAAAAGCCATACCTCACTCATCCCTCCAGCTTTTTCAGCTTTCTAGAAGTATCCTTTAAAAACATTGGGAACCTGCAGTCTCAGCTCTAAGCTTACACTGGCACCAAACTTCCAGTCTTTCTCTCACATACACACAAACCCCCACAGGAAATCAGGGCTCTTGGAATGCAAAGCTGCTCATAGGCAAGGACTGGGGATCTACATTAGAGCATGCCCTCATTCCTTAAGATCACGTAACTGGTTTGCTGGACTGTGCTATGCCCCTCCCCCTACACGTGATGCCCCACTTCTCCTAAAAGGGCCCATTGGATATGCAGAGCAGCCAAGTTCCCTTGGATATGGTGTGGAAAATCACACCCAAATGGTACCAAATTCCAGATTGTGGAAGGCCGTGGTCCAGTAAAACACTGGTGTCTGCCCAGCCTCTAGGCTGCTGTGGTGGCTGTCCTATTGACTCCTGCCTGCAGGGATGAAGAAGCCCATTAACCAGTCCCTCCCTGGGCTGGCCCCACTGACCCTTCTCCTGAATGATTTGGGTGCAGGCGCCACCCTTCTCTCCCAACACTTTCAGTTTTGCTTCTACAGCTGCAGCCCCGCCAGGCCTTGGCTGTCAGGCACAGCTGGAGAACCAGCCCCATTTGCCACAAGAAAACTTGCTTTGGCCAAGATCTTGGACCCAGTTCTGCTGTCCCAAGCAGTTTTACAGAAGGTGAGGTGGGATGTCCTGGAGGCACTAGCCAAGCCAAGCAGACAGACCAACTAAGCCCCATCTGGAGTTGGGTCCAGACCCTGCCAGCTGTGCGGGTGGGTAGGGCTGGGAAATGCGAAGTCAGCCACATTCCAGCCTCTTCCTTGCAAAGCCAATAACAAGTAACCACACTGGGCAGAAGGAGGAAGCCACAGTACAGATGGTCTCTCCTTGGGGGACATGTGAGGGGCCAAGAGGCTCACACAGCCAGTCCCACCTTCCCTCAAAGTTGACTCTCTCCAGGGCAAGGCAGAGAAGACTGCCAGCCAAGACACCACAGCGGTTCTTTTGGGACTGATAAATGTGAATGGGTGCCATGGGAGGCCGGTCTAAGAGGGGGCTCTGCCTCCTGGAGTCCTGGTGGGAAGGAGCATGAGGATGATTCAATCACTCAACACAGCTTCATTGAGAACAGCTGTCCACTGCTACCCGCAGTTGCCCCCGCCCATGCACTAGCCATAGATGTTCCCAGGGTCACCCCATTCTACTTTGCCTATTTTTAGATTTAGGTGACACTGTTCCCCTGTCTCCCAAAATTAGGCTAGAAATCCGGAAAAAGAAATAGACATATCCCTCTCTTCTACTCCCTGCATTTAACAAGTCTTCAAATCCTACCACCTGCAGCACTTCAGCTTCAGCAAAGAATCCCCTCCCCCATGATGACTGCTACCTTCCCACCCTGTCTTGCTGCCCTCCCACCCTCTTCCCCCAAGGCCATCAGGATGGTTCTCCAAAACACCGTCTCATTCACATGGCTCCTGCTGCCCTCTGGCACGGATTGCAAGCCCAGTATGAACTGGGCTCTGCCCAACTCCACAGCCTCATCCCTGCCTGGACACAGCCTGCCTCCTAAATTTAACCATCTTCCTTGCAGTCCTCAGGCCCTACCTCACTTCCTGAGGGCCCCTCTGCTGGGATGCCCTTACCCCTGGTCCATCTGGGTCGGGCCTTTTCCGTTCATTAGTGAGGGTGTGGCTCACACGTCACCTCCTGGGTAAGCCTCCGCTCACATGGCCTCCCTCCCCTGAGTCCCTGCAGTACTCTCGGCCTCTCTTATGACCCTGACTTCATAGTGCAATCATGTGATAATGTACCTTCACCCCCTCTGACCAGGATCTTCTCCAGGCCTGGGGCTAGGCCCTTGTTTACAACACAGAGCTTACTCCAGGGAAGGGTGGAGATGCACGAGTTTGTGCAAAGTCAAAATCTCCACGCCTGACAAGTCAGGGGAAGACATCCTCTTGCCTGCACTGCCCAAACATCTTCCCTGTCCCTTCTTCCCACTGTCTCCGAGTGGGACTGCTTCCCACTGGTGCCTGCTGATGTCCAGCTGTAATTGCCAGACCCCGAGAGGATGCAGGAGGGATCTGATGGGGCTTCCTTGGCCTCAACAGGTGCTTGTGACCCTGACTGTGCCTGAATTCAGAGCCAAGGCCAAAGCCTGGATTCCCTGATTTTCTTGGTCAGCCCTGCTCCAGACATGCTGCCCTGGGCCTTTGCTCTTCCCTTGCAGAAGAGTGCCCGGCCAGGGTCTGTCCACATGGTGATAACTGATGTCTGCATCTGGCCTCAGGGTTGGTCTTGACTACTTGGTGGACCTCCAAATGTGTGCCAGGTCATATAAAGAGGCCTTATCAAGACATTTTCTCTATCAGATAGGAATCCAGCCATCCATCTGCCCATCCTTCTAGATGTTCATTCATTTAACAGATATTTATTGAGCACCTACCATGTGAGTTCTAGGAACACAGCAAGGAGGAAGGCAGAAAATGCTCCTTCTCTCATAGAACTTAAATTTCATTAGGTAGGGTAAAATAGATAATAAATAAACCAAAGAGACAACTATCAGATAATGGTAAGTGCTAGGCTGAGAATTACAAAGGGTGTAATAATTAAGAGTGGCTGGGATGCTCCTTTAGACTGGGTGGTTACTGAGAAGGTGACATTTATATAGACAGGTGGGGACTGTCACAGGAAGACAGGGGACTCACATTCCAGGCTGCAGGAGCAGCTGGCACAGAGGCCCTGGGGCAGGTAAGAGCGCAGCCTGTTTGAGGTGCTGAGCACTAGCTGCGGGAACATGGTGATGGCAGGGAGAGGACTATGAGAGGTGTGGAAGGCCCCTGAGACCGCAGCAGGGCCGGCTCAGGTCAGAGTTGGGGCTTGCTCTAAATATCATGGGAAGGTCTGGGAGGGCTTTAAATCCAGTAAAAGTGGTAACCCTGGCCAGGGACCTCCCTGTGTAACTGCCTTTCTCTTCTCCCTGTTTCCCTCTCCCCACCCTCTTTCTTGATTTCTGAACTATTTCGTGGTTCATCTTGTCTGACTTTTGATGACAAGTCGAGCCTCTACCAAATGCAGTTCAAACCTTTCATTCTCATCAAAACCAAATACAGTCAAGCTAACATAAGATTAACATGAAGAACATGTTTAGGAAGGAATTTTTTCTTAGACTTTTCCCAACTCTATACCTAAAAAGAGATTTTTTAATGAGAAAAAAAGAGACTCTTCCCTAATGACACACTGGTATGAAAAACATTTATAAACATCTTAGCTTTTATTTTCTGTAAAAATCTCTGCAGCCTGTGATTCAAGGGCAAGACATCAACCCCGGCCTCCCCAGCCCAGTGCCCGGCCGGGATGGGCTCCCAGAGCCAGCAGTGCTTGCGGTCGCAGGTGGGATGAACCAGACCTGGAATTTTTAAACCCATATCCCTTCCTCTTTATTCTTTCTCCTCTGTTCTAATAAACATAAATATCTCATATCCGTTTTTTTCAGGAAACAACAGGCATTTTTTTTAAACCCTAAGCATAAATAACCAAGGCATATAATGCTGAATATGCTTTTCCAAAACTCACCCCCTCCCCTCTTCTTGGAGATATGGATACACACAGCACCATGGGCTGCCTCCAAGCAACGACCGTCTGGGCCTGCCAGACCCTGTCTCCACCTTCTTGGGCTTAGTGGTATGCTCCTCCTGGGGGTGGCCTGGCCTCCATCCTCAGGGTGAGCTAAAACAGAGGCCGGCCTCAGAGCTGCATCTTTAGCCATCTGCCTGAGGATGCAGAGGCATCAGCAGCTATGCCTGGAGTCCGGGTCCCCCAGCCTGGATGCACACCTGTGGTCCTGCCGATCACCCCTGAGGCGGCCTTGCCTGGGCTTTCCTACAGGCCCGGGGTCTGGGCCTGCCTCCAAGTGGCACTCCTTGCCTTGCTAAAGACAGCTCTGCCTCTAGCCCCCCTCCTTGGTGAGCCACATAATCCTGGAGGCAGGCTGCCCATCACTGCCAAGCACAAGGTATTTCCTCGGCTGCTGCAGGAGCCCGAATGCCCACATAGCGATGCCAACGCCTCCCCGCCAGCTTTGTAAGGGGGAGTACATCTCCCAGGCCCTATGGGATCTGGTTCCCACCTGCCTCTTCTATCTCATCTACTAATTACCACTCCCATTTCCCCCACCTTCCCTAATCCTCCCTAGCCCAGCCAAACTGCACATTGGATGTATGCTTTCTCGGAGTCACGATGTTCTTTCCTTCTTCTTGGAATGGCTTTCCTTCTTCCACTGGCTAAGTCCTACCTCTCCATCAAAAACTCAGCTCAGCTATCCCCTCCTCCAGGAAGCCTTCTCTGACTCCTCCAGAATGAGTTAGCCAACCCTTCTCTGTTCTTCCATCTCTGTTTTAGCACTCTGTAAGTATCTGTCTACAGCCTTGTTTTCCCAGTAAGCTGCACTCTTTGAAAGCAGGGACATGTCCCATATCCCCAGATTCCTAGTCCTTAGACCAGGGCTTGGTGTGCTGTGTGGGTTCAACAGGGGCTACGGGGATGGGTGGGTGGCTGCTCCAACCACTGACCTAATGGGTTCAAATTAGGGGGCGCCAGTGGACTGGTCACCAGGGAGTGTGTGCACCGCAGCTCGGGTCAGCACTGCCCAGGCTAGCCCAGCAGCTCCTGAACTAAACTGGATTTGGCTGGGGGAGTGTCCAGTTCCATTGCCCAGAGCTCCTTGGGATCCTAAGGAAGCCAAAAGGCAAAGGCTCCTGCCTCCTCAGAACAGAAGGAAATCACGTGCACTGTGCCTGCTCCTTGATGGACCTGTCTCTGCCACACGCCCATCCCCTACCTGCCCTACAGGCCTCTCACTGCAGCGCATCCACTTCTGAGACTAAAATGCTGGAAGTCTCCAGACACCCTTGACCTTGCCTGTAATCAGCTAACTAAAAGGTAGACACAAGCAACCCCTAAGAATCCGAAGGCGAGAAGGTCAGGGAGACTGTTGTGGGGGGGAGGTGGGACAAAGCCATAGCCCAGTGGCTTTCCATCGCCAGCCCCTCCCGACTCTCCCCAGCCTCCAGGCAACACTGGAGAATCTGGACCCCCTTCCCTGCTGGGCCCAAGGAGGGGCCTGCTCACTTCCTCACCTTCCACCTCCAGTAGGCGTTGCGGAGTTAATGGCCTGCACCATGTCCGTGGTGAGGGCATCCAGGAGGCTGGTGATAAATTCCATTTTCTTCGCTTCTGGACAGCCTGGAAGATAAAATGGGATTTGAAGGCAGATGCCAGGTAAATAATCGAATAAACAGCTTCCTCCACTACCACTGTTTCCCAAACCTCTCCAAGTCCTTTGTGTCCAGCCAAGTCCACTTTGGGGATTGTTTACTGCTCAGATGCTTCTCATAAACCTCCACAGTTCCTCTACCTGCGGCCCACAAGGAAAATAATCAGATCAAATGGATAATAATGCTTTCAATTTTCTTCCATTCCACAAATTTCTGCTGAGTATCAACTCAGGCACTATGTTAAATGTTAGGATGTCATACGCAGGGTCTTATGCTCTTGAAATTCCACTGGGAAACTCAAGCTAGATTTGGTGTAGTAGGACCAGGCAGTCATACTGAGTGTGAAAAGCTACTCGAGATAAAGACCAGGGGCCGAAGGGGCACAAGGGACAAAGGGAACCCCGATGGTCAAAGTTGACTCAGGCAGACCTGCCAGTTCATCAGTCCATGAACTGCCTTCTTTATTAACTCCTCTTCTCATCCGACTTAGATTACAACGATCAAATCTCCCTTATAAATCCCCTCAGTTTCTCTTTTACTGCATTGCACTATTCCAGCAAAACCCTAGGCATGAATGAACGTTCTCACAAACATGCTTCTTTCAAGTCTACCCCCAGTATTGCTGGTGTAAACACCACCACACAACTGGATATATGGGAGTCCCTGTAGATTCACAATTGCCTGCCCCAAATGTGCCCTCAGCACTACCTACAACCCTCCTTTCTGCAGCAGCCAGCATATTCCCTTCGCTCCACGAATCCCCTAGGTCTCCGGTTAAACACTCTCCCCAGAGAAGCCACAGACTCTGAAGCAGATTCCCCCTGCACTGCTTTGCTGCAGAGAAGGCCTGTCCCAACTGCTAATACAAGTTCGTATTCCTTACTTATGTACGATCTGTCTCCTCTACTGTGTATGCCTCATGTCAGGTTTGGTCACTGGATTATACAACAGTGCCCGGCACACAGCATCTCATTTCACATCTGTTGAGGGGATAGTCTCCTCTGACTCCATTCTTGCAGCAGGGTGATTTTTACAAACCTCACTTGGAAACCCCCTGATTTTCAAAAGCCTCTGTTGTCAGCTCTCACTGGAGAGTCCTAAGGGGGTGTGGGAAGGTGGTTTAGCTCCCACCAGCACTGATCCAAATTTGTGCTTAGTAAAGACTACAGTGTCCCAGGCTACCAGTATCTAGTAGTCTCATTGTAACTGACTGCAGAGAACACTATAGATAAAGGAAACCCATCACTTCAACCGCTAGAGGTTCTGGACCCCAACTGTGCACGTTACAGTACCACCGGAAGTAACTGCAAAAACACTCTGCAGGGCTGGGGACAGACACTGCCCACACCTCTCAGGACAGCTCTACCCTGGGAAAAATCTCAGCCCTGGGAAAAATGGTCCACAGCCTGCAGAATATTGTCCTGATTACCCTCAGATAGAGAAGGAATCATAGAATTGTAAGGACAGGATTTTAACTCAATACTTGCATTTAAAGATAAAAGGTAAGAGCACAGAGGAGAAATGTTCAAGGGCACAGGACTATTTAGGGAAAATCCTGGGCTGGATGCAGATCCCAGGGCTCCTGGCTCTGGGCTCCTGTGATGCCCCTGTCCAGTGTCCCTGCTCATCTTACCTATGGGGAGACAGACTCAGGGTAGAGGGCTGCTTCTGCATGGGGAGGGGTAGGACAGAAAGAGGGTAAGGAGCCAGAAGGGGCTGCATGTCTCCCACCTGGCAGCTCCCTGTCCTTGAAGGGGTCATCTGCCTCCGCACTCCTGGCCCTGGCGTCACTCTCACAGCTGGGCATTACATAGCTGGGAAGAGAGAGATGGAGGGTAAGGAGGGCTGGGAACCGAGCCTGCAGGAGCCACTGCTACCCAAATGATCTGTGCCATCACTAAGCCTGGAGCTTCCTGGCAGGCAGCAAAATACACCACACTGTCCAGCAGCTCCAAGGCGATCCTGGCATTAAGGTTCCCAAAGCATGTTGCTTTCCTCACTCAAGCACAACAATGTTACCTTATGTCTGCACATGGGGTCTTTTTGATCCATTGAACCTAGTGATGCAAGCAGGGCAGTAACCTCCTCATGGGTAAATGGAGGTTCAGAGAGGTTGCCTACTTTTTCAAAGTCACCAGTTGGTATGTGCAGACCTGGGACTGGAATTCAGGACCCAGGTCTTTCTACTAGAACATCAGCACTAGAGTGCTGAGAGCCCTCTGCTCTCCTAGAACCTTGACTCTCACCAGGCCAGGCCAGAAAGCCAGGAGATGCAAGGTGCCAGCCCTAACAAGAGGCTGGTTCTCCCACCCCAGGGCCCACCTGAGGGACAGGATAGGCTCGGGGCAGAGGGCAGGGGGCTTACCGGGTGGAGGTCCCAGGCAGTGGGCGCCCTGTGTCCACCAGCACACACCAGCAGTAGCCAGTGGACTGGTGACACTGCACTGGCTTATACAGCCCCCCAGGGGCGCACTCGGGGATGACAATGCCCTCGCGGGGATTCTGTCGGGCCTCTTCCAGGGCACTCTGCCTCTCCTGGTCGCACGAGTAGACTTTCTCTGCAGGAGAAGACACGGCCTATGAATATCACTCCTGTGATTTATCACTGCTGCCTTCCACGCAGGGACCCAGCCTGGCCCCAGGGAACAGGTGGTTTGGCTGTTGAAACAACACAGAGAACTGTGTCTCCTATGTGAGCCCACAGTGAGGGGCTGGAGGCAGCAAGAGGATCAGGGTTCATCAGCATCCACACCCAGCAGGTTCCATAGCAACGAGCCAGCCAAACACTGCAGGGTGCACTTTATCAGAGCAGTGGTTTGCCCCAGGGGCAGAATTTCCTGACTGTTTCAGAGGAGTTCCTGCTAACACGCTGTCTACTGACTCCCAGAGAGGTGGGTACAGGAACCTGACTGCCCTGCAAGCCGACAAGCTGCCAGAGGAATGCCTGTGTGTGTAGACACTCTCCCAAGCCCAGACACAGCAGGACAGAGCCACAGGCCACCAGCTGCAGGGAAGCAATGTTCAGTGTCCAGGAGGAGCAGAAATGAGGCCCAGCCCCATTCCCTCCCAGCTCCAACAAAGTAGACTCAATGGGCTTGAGCCAGTTACAGCACACTGCTTCCACCCCATGGGAGAGAGAAGGGCCACAGGAAGGTGTCTGCGCTCTGTGGCCCCAGAAACATGTGAATGTGTCGGAGCAGCCAAACCTGGGCCCCGCAGAGCCAGCACCTGGCTGAATCAGTGTGAGGTGCCCCGTGCCGGGTGTGGCCAGCTCAGGGCCTCAGACCCACAGGACCCCCGCCTGAAAATCCTACCTAGTCAAATCAGTCAACCTGCCTGCCTGTTTTCCCTTTCTTGTTTTCTTTTTTTTTGTTGCTGTGTTTTGTTTTGTCTTCTTTTGTTTTTTTAATTATTAAAAATACATAGCATTGAGTTTCTTTACTTGTTATAAAGAAAATTGTGAAAAACCCAGAATCCCACCAAAGTTAAGCACCACCTTCCCTAGACCTTTTCTTTTGCACAAACACACACACAAATTGCAAATACAAAGGCACACAACTACTTAGTTTTTTTCACCATAAAAGGACATCATAAACCTGTACTGTTACTCTTTTTTATCTACTTATTTATCTATTTGTTTGCATACTGTATTATTACTTTACTTCTTTCATGAGCATGCTTCCGCACCTTTCCTACTGAAGAAGGTGATGGAATACAGTCATGGGCATCCCATGACATTTTCACAGTGTGTTCCAAAAATACCAGAGAGCCAGAAATCTGGTATCAGCAACCTGGACATTCATGTTGCTCATTAAACAGCAGCCCACGTGATCCAAATAACAGCAACCCAACTCTAAAGGAGCCAAACCCTTTGAAATCATGGCTCTGTTAATGGCACAGACAGTACAGATGTTTAAACAAATTGCAAGTGTGCACAGCGAAGCAACGCAGCTCAAGGCCGTCTTAGAGAGAAGTCAGATGATGGAAAAAGAGTCTTTGTTTCAGTCCCAGGAAAAGTGCTGCAAAGTAAGAGCCTGGTGATTCTCACTGCAGGGAAAGGGGACTATTTCCTTGGAGGAATAAAAATATCTGAGGGTCAGGAGGCAGGTATGTAGAGCACATCCCCTATTAAAATATAGTTTTGAATTGCAAAATGAAAAAATAAATATACAATTGTTTTCATAATGCAAACACAGCAAAACTGAACAGAATCTCCTTGGCTAGAGGAGCCGGAGTTTAAAAGAGTTGATAGACATTAGATTAGGAATTCTGAACTTGATAATAACTACCATCAGGATGGCCTCTAGAGGCAGTTTAAGTAAGAAATATGAACTGCTTAGTGAAGCCTGGTTTGAAGACCCAGAATTTTGACTTTGGCCCCTGGCTGGGATGGAGCCATGGCACCTTCCAGGGGATTATGTGAGAGTTTTTCAATAGCTTCCCCAACCTCAATCCAATAGCCTTATTTCCCTGCTTTATATTTCATGCCACGAAAAAGGCAACAGAGGAGCAAAACCAAAAGAAAATAGCTTTCTACTGGCACCCCGTTCAGGTAACAACCTCTGAGAGAGGCTTTAAATTGAGACCCTCCAGGCCAACATTCTAAAGCTAGAAATCAGCCCAAAAGCAAAGGGAAGGGGAAAAAGCTTCCCCAGGGGTAGAGCAAATGATGGACCTGACTTCACACACTGGGGACCCTGAAACTGCAGAAATAGGGGGAGCACAGCCATCTAAGAAGAGGTGAGAACCCATGTTTTGGGGGCTGTTGACAGATCTCTGGAAGTTTTTGAAGGCTGCTCTGAAATGTTTACAGCTAGCTTCCATACCGACTGTGCCAAGCTCCATGGAGAATAAAAACCATACAAATGATAAAGCTTGCTAATTTGGAAAAATAGGGGCCAGCATAGAATTAGAGAGAAGCTTAAATACAGGGTTTTTAGTTTTTTGTTTGTTGGCTTGCCTGCTTATTGTTTTATGACAGTCCCTGCAAGCCCAGGTGCTCCCCTAAGAGAGAAGAAAAGTTTTTAATAATAACACTAACCTTTCGTGAAGAGTTTATAGGGAGTTTGTCTTCAAACAGAGAGAAAATCTCCCTTACAACCATCTTTATATCAATAATAGTCAAAGCAGATATTCACTGAGTAGTGATAGACGCAGAGCTTTACTTGCCCAATTTCTTTGTCTGTGTAAGGGGGGCACCATTATTATGCCCGTGATGTAGAAAAGGAAGCTGAGCTTTGGAGAGATCCAGATTTTCCCACATTCACTCAGCCTGAAGAATGGAGGTCTGGGACCCCAGTCAAGGGCATCTGAGAGTTGAGCCTGTCTTGCTAAACTCTAGACAGAAGTTATCACCTCAAATCATTCGCTCTCAGGGAAAAATACATTTATTGTTACAGTGTGAAGTTCCTCCAGGTCAGTCCCTTTGCAGACCACCCACAATCTGCTGTGTTCAGAACCAAGTGGGTAAAAACATATAAGTGTTCATTTGGCAGAACACAGCTTCTGCTGGACCAGAGATTTTTCTGAGCTTAAGCACATGACACGTCTTGTACCCAAATATTTTTCCCACTTTGCCTTGGAACTGGAAACCTTAAAGTCAAATTTGTAACTCACCTGCCATTATAGAACAGTGAAAAGAATAGTACTAGCTAACATCTATTTAAGTGGTTACCATGTGCCAAGCCTGGTACTGGTCACTTTACTTGCATTAACTCACTTCCAACTCATCACAAGCCTCTAAGATAGGTGTTATGATCCTCACTGAGGAGAGGAGAGCCCAGGAACACAGACTGGCTGGACACAAAAGACAAAGGTCAGTTCCAAGGGTCTCTTCATCACCCTTGACCATTCATTCTTCATGACTATTGAGAGAGGGAGCTCCCCAGAAATGGATACTCCCTGTTCTAAAATATTCAATCTCTGCATAACAAAGTGCAGGAAGGAATGACAAGATTAGAAGATTTGGTTGATAATTATGAGAACAGGCCAGGACCATCTGTAAATGCTGGAAAGACATAAACAGCAGGGGAAAGGGAGCAATCAGGGCTGTCCAGAGGGGCATGGGAACACATGACCACACATTCTTACACACTCATGCACACCCACTCCTAAAATCCTATTCCAGGGTGGTGCAAAGAAATGAAAGCCAGGTCACTCTCTACAAGGCAATGCATGGTTAGTTTCACTTGGAAATCTCTGATTGCCTAAGAGAAGGAACACAACAGAGAAGTATCCTGCGGAAGAAATGAGAACCCAGTCCAGCCCTTGCTGCAAGAAAACCCAGCCCTCTTTACCACCAACACATTAGCACCAGAACAAGGCAGGACTGAGTGGTGTGGGAGTGGGCAAGGAGGGAAACAAGGGAAAGACTGAACCAGATGAGCATAAACCCTCTGCAGACTCAGGGCATCAGTTCTTACGTGTCCAGCCAAGACAGGATAAGCATAAAGAACGACTCTGTCTGCTGCAGCTAGTCCGTGCCTCTGTGCCTCTCAATTACTCATGGTGATTAGAAGCAAAGGAAAGCATAGACAACCTAAAGCCTCAGCTAATCCCCAATCTTGATTTTAGCCCAGAGTTGATCCTTTTGTCCTAGGAACCTTTTCTCCTTTATCATCTTTTTCTTACTTCTTCTTTACTTTTTTTTTTTTTTAATAAAAATGGCCAACAAACATAAACATTACAAGATTTGAGTTTCACATGCTTGGGCTGGTCCTTCTTTCTGGTGCTGCCTTCCAGAGGAGGAGCTGCTGAAGGAAGGAGCAGAGAGCAAAGCTGAAATTCTGGGAAACTCAACCCCTGAGTCAGCAGGTATTGGTGAGGTAGTCACATCAGAACTCTCTGGAGAAAGAGCCGTGGACCTCATGGTGATGGTGGCAGTGGGGAGATGGGTAGAGAGAGAAGGCAGTGGTCAGAAAAGGGCAGTAACAGTCAGGGTTCTCTAAAGAAAGTGTGTGTGTGTGTGTGTGTGTGTGTGTGTGTGTGTGTGTGTGTGTGTGTGTGTGTGTGTGTGTGTGTGTGTGTGTGAGACAGAGAGAGAGTGTGCTTTATTTTAAGGATTTGGCTCACACGATCTTGTGGGCTGGCAAGTGTGAACCGTAGGGCAGGCTGTCATGCTGGAAATTCAGGTAAGATGATGTCTTGAGTCGAAAATGAATAGGTCAGGCCAGTGGGCTGGAAACTCAAGCAGGATTTCTGTGTTTCAGTCTGGAGGCAGAATTTCTTCTTCTTCAGGAAATCTCAGTTTTTGATCTTAAGGCCTTCAACTGATTGGATGAGGCCTGTCCACATTATGAAGGGTCATTTGCTTTACTTAAGATCAACTAATTATAAATGTTAATCATGTCCAAAAAATATCCTCAACACAACATCTAGACTAGTGTTTAACTAAACTGGGCCCCATAGCCTAGCCAAGTTGCCACATACATTAACCATCACAAGGTCCATATGAAGAATGAGAACAAGAAAAAAGATCAGTGCTACAGAAAACCATATGCAGAATAATGGGAAGAGTCACAGGCCGTAGAAACATGTATTGGGAAGAGGCTTCAATGAA